CCATCTAAACAGATAATGGAATCAACGTTATTTCAGCACCTGCAAGACTAGATGCACCTTGCATCATTCTGTTCGCTAGAATAATCAACTGCTCATAAGCAATGATGCTTAGGGAGCCGATACCGCTTTCATACCGTCGTGTCGTTAATATTTAGATTGACTATTACTCCTAAAGTCTCCTCAATTTCATTCTTCTGTCAATCCTGTGGATCTATATGCCTAAGAGAAGTTCCCTTGTTTAGGGTACACTAAGGAATGGTTAAAACATGCTACAGCTCGATGGTATTTGAGCATATGAAGTGCGTGGTCAGTTTGTTTGACACAACAAAGTGGTACTGACTTGTGCCAATGCATGAAATATCATAGAGCCATGGCTGACTGAAACGGCCCCGTAGTACTAGAAGCAATGGGTCGGTGCTTCTCCGTAAATCCAAAAGATCGACAGGAGAAGGTTATTCCTACGGGCGGTACTGACAGCTAGCAGTTGGCTAGCAAACCCATAATAACAGCGACTATTTTTGTCTCCAAAATTTCATTCTTGAATTTAGTTTAAGATCAGCTTGCCCAAACCTACCAAAATTTCAGGCTTCCGACTCTCAATGAGGTCACAAAAGCAGTTAGAAACTTTCAAAATTAAAGCGATACCAGTCCAAAATTCTGAAATCATGTTACTCCAACGCATACAAAATTTTACATGCTAATTGCTGCCTTGATGGTCAAGAGTGATCGATTTTCTAGGGGACAATTAATTCATGAAAAAAGTTTTAAAGATAAATTTTTTCCTCTATGGAAATACAGTTGAGATATTTAACAACAAACAGCATGCACAAATAACCGTAGCTTATAAGCATACGATTAAAGTACTGCAAAACTGAATATTACTTACGCTTCGTACTTCAGCAACAGGAACGATGTTATTCTCTTCCGCAGTCTGCAAACGTTCTCCGGATTTAAACGACAATTTCTATAAAAAAGCAGACATTGAATGACAGACATTTACTGGCACACTGGTCAAAATGGAAAATTAACCATGCTCATATGCAACTCTTTTAAGCGACAGTTCCAGCAGTGAACTCAAAAAGCTGATAATGGCGACGATGATATTAAATCCTTTAAACCTCACACAGCAAACAAGGTATTCCGGCAAACCACCCACCGGTTCAGGGCAGCCTGAAAGTCTTGAAAGAGAGGTTTGAACACCCTCTTACCAAGGATAATGACAATTTTCGGCGATGAAGAGAGTGCCCTGAAGAACTCCTTAACCCTAAGCAACCAGAGGGAACGGACTCGCCTGTAAAACAGAAGGGAAGGATATTACTATCTCTATACATGAAATTACACAAGCTGTGAAAAGCCTGAAAAATGAAAAGGCTCGTGGAATTCATGAAACCCGCTCTGAAATGTTCAAGGCATTAAGCAAGCAAGGTATGTGCTGGCTTACATGTGTCCGTCAAACTGCGATGACTAAACGGAAGACACCAGCGGAGTGGAGAACGGGAGTTCTTGTACCTCTATTTATAAAGGGAGACCACAAGGAATGCTCCAATTATAGGGGCATAACGTTATTGAGCCTCCCAGGTAAAGTCTACGCAAAGGTGCTAGAAAGGAGACATCTCGGAATAACTTACTCCAAAATACAAAAAAGGCAGTGTGGCTTCCGGTCCGGTCGAAGCTCCTCTGACCATATATTTACGCAGCGCCAGTTTGCTGAAAAATTGTGGGAGTACGCCCGTACGGCGTATATGTGTTTTGTTGACATAGAAAAAGCCTACGACCCGATCCAACACAAGAGTCTTGGTCATGCCTTTGAGCGTACGGGATGGATGGACAGCTGCTAGGGGCCATCTAATCACTGTATTCCGAGAGCAGGTGCTGCGTCAGAGTTAATGCCGTTAAGTCGAAACCATTCA